TGTGCACCGGCTGCAGGGACCCATGCAGTGCAGATGAGCCTCCTGGACACCGTGTCACATGGCAGGGAGCTGTCGCTGCCAGATCAATGATTAGGCACGAATCAGGCTGTGGCCTCGCTGCGCTCCTGCTTTCTTTTGAAACTGGGAGCAGGAAAAGGCTCCTCTTGTAAAGGCCCAACTTTTTCCATCAGTGGAGCCCAGATTTTTGCCCGGTGACATGAATTAGCAGAGAGGACCGTGTTCCTTCCACAATTATTTCGCAGACGTTATCTCTTCATTAGCTGTACCAGAAGCCATGTATCCACAAGTCATGTGATTTAACATATGGCTCCCGTGTGGCTGTTGCCCGCTCCGTGTGGGCTACCGCTGGGAGTGCACGGGCAGGACAGAGCGACACTCAGGGGCTGCAGAATCGCCTCTTGGGAGCTGCCATCTCCTCCACCGTCAGCCTCAGCTTCCTCCGGCAGGCAGGGCTGGGCTTGGTCCTGGTCCGAAGGGCGGCACCCTTGCCAAACCTGCACCACCTTGTCTGGCCTTTCCTCCCTGGACAGGGGCACGAGCAGCAGCGGGTCGCCCCATTTCCTGGGCTCCTTGACTCAGGACAAGGGAGGCTGAGAATATCTGCAGTGGCCTTGGGCTCTCTTCCCTGAGGCCCATGGCTAACCTGGTTTGCAAATCTACACCACCACCTGCCCTTCCTGGAAAAAACCAGGCCCGATGGGACCCCCGGCGTGGGAACTGGCAGCTGTAGGATGCATGGGTGTCAACCCTGCCTGCCACGTTCAGCTGTAACCAGAGCCGCCCACGGAGCCGGGAGCTGGGCCTCTGCGGGCACAGCCACTTAGCAGCCGCCCTTGCTGCCTTGGGCTGGCCCCCTTGTCCTTGTGGGGAATCTGAAGGCAGAGCAGGCTCCCCGACCCTCAGTCCTGAGGCTGTCCTGGAAGGACCCCTGCCCCCTCCCTTGTCTCCCCTGTGCCTGAGTCTCCGGCCGGTTCTCTGCCTTTGTATTCTGAGTCTCAGGGCTCCTGTTTCCAGCCCTGCCTCGGACCACAGGGTGCTGACCTGCCTTCCCCAGGTGATGGTTTCTTGTCAGGGTGTGGTGCCCGCCCTTATCCCTCACGTGTGACAGTGGAGGCCCAGTCCCCAAGTGTGGGTGCTGACTCGCAGGGATGAGCTGCTGGGAGCCCTGTGACAGGTGTCCGCCCACCTCAGGGAACCTGTGGGTCCCAGCGCAACCGGCGTTGTGCAGATTCTGTTGAGCGCAGGAGGCGGGCAGCCAGGCACCTGTTCAGAGCAATCCCACGGGAATGGCGGCCCCCCTCACACAGGCACCAGGATGCAGAGCTGAGGTGGGCTCAGCAGCCGGCGTTCATTGTTGGCCGGTTTGGGAGATGGCATTATCTCCCTTGTTTGCAAAGCAGAGGGGAGAGGGGCTTGGCAGGCGGGTGGAATTGCCTGGCCTGTGCCGGAAGGCCGTATGATCTGAAGCGAGATTCTCTTGAGTGTCAGCCTGTGTGTACATCCGGGTGAGTTCACTGCACACCTACTGTGTGCCAGGAAGTGGGCTGAGCCCAGAGCAGGCGGCTTCCAGTGATCTTCCCCGCGTCTGGGCCAATGTGGTGATTCCTTCCAGAGCACTGATGACGCAAGCCTTGCCCTGACCTGCGCTGTTTTGTGGGTGATTTAGGGCTATACTTCCAGTTGAGGATCTTGGGTGGGGTGGCCCTGGCTGAGGGGTGGCTGAGGACAGACGAGGCTCCAAGAGTGGAAAGGCTGGCCTGCCCCACCAGGGCCTCCTGGCTCGATCCCTCAGCTGGTATTTATCGGCTTCCCCCAGTTGTGGGTTGCCTCTGGTTCCAGACACAGACTGCTGGAAAGGTCAGGGGACCGTCCTCTGTGAGCCACACCCTAGCTCAGACACCCTAGCTCACACTGAGAACCCCAGACACTGCCTGTCCCGGCAGAAGGGCACCCTGAGCTCTGTCCTGGGCTCACCTGTCCAGGTGGAGGCTCCACTGCTGGGGGCCGCTCTTGGGATGATTCACTCAACCACCCAGCGGGAGCACCGGGCCAGGGCTGCAGTGGTGACAGGATGTGCCCTCTGCCCTTGGGGAGTGAGAGGGACGCAGGCCTAGTGCATTGAAGGCCAGGGCACCGGGAGGCCAGGCTAGCATGGCTGGTGTTAGGAGCGTCTCAAGGGGGTGGCATCTGAGCGAGTGGGTAAGGAGGGTGTGGGTTGGGGACCTGGCCTTGTGCTACTTGGGGAGCCCCACAGGGCTTAGAGAGGGACCATGCTGATGGCTCATAAACCCTTGAGTCCAGGACACCCGGGCCGGCTGTGGCCACCTGGCCCCACCTGCTCTCCCCTGGAGATCCTGGGGCAAGTGCCCACAGGGTGAGGCAGGCTCCCCTTGTGGGGCCTTGGAGGAGGTGCTCCCCTGGTGTCTGGCCTGTGGCTTCTCCTGCCAGCCTGCTTTCCCTAACCCCGGAGAGAGGTGGCCCCAGGAGGCCCCACTGTGCCCTGCAGGCCTGACCCGCCCACCCTGTTTCCCGCATGCTGTCCTGCTGTGGGTGTCTGCAGGGCTGTGGGGAGACTGCAGACGGTTTCTAGACTGACACTGGAGCGCAGCCGAGGTCTTGGGTGCCAAACTCAGGCTGTCCTGGGCTACGCTGAGGCTGCCTGCTCCTGTTCCAGGAGCCACATTTTCCTTTTACCTCTTTAGGCCACAATAGGGTGGCCTTTCCTCATCAGAAAGCAAGGAAGAAAGGTCCAGGGCGAATGTGGGCCCTGGAGGGCAGACAGGAGGCTGCCATGTGGGCATCTGCCATCTCGTGGCCCTGGTCTGTAGAATGGGGAAGCCGTGGGGAGGCACTGCCGGTGAGTGCAGGGGGCTTGGGCAGGCAGCCAGGGCTGTGCTCCTCCCGGCCATGGCCCCAGGCAGACTTCAGGCCTGGGCCTTTCTGGGAGTTTGGCTGAGCCTGACATCCAGGCGAGGCCCCAGGGCCGCCATGGCCGAGTTAAGGCTCAGCCACTTGTGTCTGGCTGAGGACCTCAGGCCTGGTCTCCAGGGCCCCCGTGTCCTTGCCGGGGCGCTGCTGTGCCATTAGGAATGGCACTGTGGTACTTTTTGCTTTAGGGTCTGGTCCGTTCTGCAATTAGAGACTCCTGGGCGTCTCACCCCTGCCTCAGTTTCCCCAGCCCTTTCTCAAAGCAATGGTTATTTGTTCCGTCCCTGAGCTCGCAAAGATGCTGCGTGAGGCTTACTTCACGGGGCCCCTCACATGTCCTCTTCCCCACAGGCAGGGCCCAACTGGTGGCTCTAAAAGGGCAGCCTGGACCCAGCAGGGTCATCTGGCTCCAGGGCCACCCCATCTTCCCACCTGCCAAGGCTCGGTGTTACCTGTGGGGCACAGCCAGGCCAGCGGGGCCCTGTCCCTAGGGGTGGGTGTGTGGGGAACCTCGCTGGACCTGTGCACTTCCAGAAGGACCACTCTTCACATCCCAGGGTCCAGGATAAGCCACTGAGGTTCTTCCTGTGCCAGCACCATCCTCATGTCTGGAGGCAGCAGACCCCAGCCGGCACCCACCCACTCAACCTAGAGGCACATTCCCTGGTCTCACCGGCCTTGCCGACCACTCTGAAATGGGAAGACTGATCTATATCTCATGGGGTTGCTCAAGCAGGGCAGGAGCCGAGGTCCCAGCAGCCCGGGGGCCCTGTTGTTAGCTTTGCAAGATCCCAGGGGCTGGGTTCCCCCATCCATTCCAGCCTGGGGAGTGAGCTGTTCCCACCCTGTTTACCCACCAGTGCGTTGGGGTGTGGCCTGGGCAGGGCGGCAGCTCCAGGAAGGAAGTACGGCTGCCTGACGTGCCAGGGTCACCGGCCATTTCTGCAGGGCTGGCTTGTCCGGTCCCTGGGCACTGATGCAGGTGTGACTCAGGGTCCCAAAGGGGATGGCAAAGCGCAGGCTGCTCCCCACCCGTTTGATCTGCCTGGGGGGGACTAACCCCTGCCCTGTGGCTAAAGATCCTGGGGCAAGGGGTGGGGCTGGCTCCATTTGTGGGGCCCTCCTCAGGCTCCTGGCACCTTCAGCCCAGTCCACAACCCCGTGTGATCAGGGTGCCATGTTCCCCAGCCCTAGCAGGGTTGCCCCCTCCCTCTGACTGTCGTAGCCACTGTCCTCTGGAAGGGTTACTTCTGCTCCTTGGGGGGCCTTCTCTTTGCAATATCCCCTCATTTGCCCTCATTTGAGGCCCTTTCATGGGGTGCAGTGGGTCCTATGGAGGGATTCCTGGCTCCCCCAACAGCAAGGGGCTGTAAGCACGCTGACCCAGAACCTCAGGGTGCCTGCGTGTCGCAGCGGGTGTGTGCACCAGTGTGAGGAGTGTGCACGCACAGGGACGTGCTTGTGTGTGAGCACATGAGGTTGGTTCTCAGAATGCTCAGCTTGTGTTCAATGCTCACAAGGTGCTCATGGAAGATGACGAACCAGCTGCTGATTTGGGTTGTGGAGGCCAGTCCTGGCTATGAGACTAGGGGACTTGGAGACCCCAGCCTGGAACCCTGGGGTGGGGGTCGGATTTGGGCAAAGGCGCAGCTTCTATAGCTTAACTCCGGCAAACCTTTTCTGTAAGTGAAAGTCGCTGGCTCGGGTGGCCCCACTGTGGCCTGGCTCACAGACAGTGTATAAAGGAGCCTGGGGGCTGTGCTGTGTGCTGGTAAAACTTTCTTCACAAACACTGGAGTGGCCAGGTGTGGCCCGCTGGCCCCGGGTGCATGGGGTCTGTGCTTCTCGGTCCTGGCACCAGCACCTGGCTGGGGCTGGTGAGGGTGCCGCCTGGGACTGGCCTCAGCGCATCATGCCCTTAGGCCCGTGTGCCTGACTCTCCTTTCCCGAGGAAGTCTCAGCCCATCAGAGTTGGAGACAGCCTGCTTCCCATGGCTGCTGCAGGGCTCAGTGAGACCCTGTGCATAGGGGGCCCGGCCGGCACTCCGGAGATGCTCCTGCTGTCGCTAGCCCATGGCTGCACGCACCACAGCGGTGCTGGGCCGGAGAAGAATGGGGCAGGTGGGGCTCACTGTGACCACCCCCACCCACCACAGAGCAGAACCCCCCACCCCGTGTTCATCCCCTCACAGGCCCAAAGGCCACTGCTGCGCCCTCCCAGCGAGTCGCAGTGCTGTCTTGCTTTTCTGTCTCTTTCTCTCCATCTCTCTCTCTTTCTCTGGCTTAGCTAGAGCAGTCCTGAAAATTGCATCCCATTTGTTACAAGTTACATGTGTTCACTGTGGAAACACGTGGACTCCGTGGCCCTGTCTTCCGTGGTTTGTGGTAACACCAGCACTCCCAGAACTGGTTTCCTGACACGCTCACAGCGGCTTCTCGGGCGGGATGAGGCTCGGGGACATGGTTGCACTGGGCCTCGAGAATGATGGGGCAGCCGGGTGTCTGCACAGCGAGGTGGCCTGCACTCTAGGACGGGAGCTGCCACCGGCTTCTGATGACAAATCCCCCAAAGCCACACACAGTGCTGGGTGCTGCCCGTTAAGTGCAGGCTGCCTGGCCCATCGAGTCCCAGGATGAGAAGGCCTTTACCTGGGATTGGTGTCCTGGCTGTGGCAGCCGCAGGGCCTTAACGGTGGCTCCCCCAGCAGTGGCTGCTCCTGCCCCTTGTGCCCCTTCCCGCCCCTTGTGCCCCTTCCCGCCCCTTGTGCCCCTTCTCGTCCCTTGTGCCCCT